TGCTGGCTGGGGGGAGGGATCAGCTGATGGGGTTGAGCAGAGCCCGGCGCGCCAGGGCGCGTGTGCGCTGCATCAGACCCGGGGCAGCGCCCTGCCTGGCCGGGCCTTGGGGGGCAGGGCTGCCCCTCCTCTTGGAAAGCCAGGCCAGGGATTGCCTGTGGTTGTGTTGGCAGACACTGCATTCAACCCCTTCCATCCCTCCACCCCGGCCCCGCTGAACACGGATTTTCCTAAACAGGATTTAGATGCCTTCCCCTGCAATGAGCTCTGTGGCTGTGTCTGGACTGGCCCGTTTTTCCGGAAAATCAGCTGTTTTTGCGGAAAAACTTGCCAGCTGTCTACACTGGCCGCTTGAATTTCCGCAAAAGCACTGACGTCCTGCTGTAAGAAATCAGTGCTTCTTGCGGAAATACTATGCTGCTCCCGCTCCGGCAAAAGTCCCTTTTGCGCAAAAGGGCCAGTGTAGACAGCTGAGATTTGTTTTGCGCAAAAAAAGCCCCGATTGTGTTTTTTTTTTGCGCAAAAGCGCGTCTAGATTATGAGCAGACTGAGCAGTAGATCTCTGAACAATACATATGAATCCCCCATCAATGTGTTTCTTGATGTAAAGGCACAAGGGAAATTATTAAAAGGAGCCCTAATTTCAAGTGGTCTGATGAGTTACCTGAGCTGAAGCACATTTTTGAAAGCCACCCTAATCCATGAGGTCAAAGACCACCTTCCCCTGATGCTTTATCCTGCCTACCTTCACCGACAGCTGTGGGAAGTTGGGTGTCTAGCAACTCCTAGGGCTGGTGGGATTTGAACCCACCCCCCTGAGCCTGGTGCCTTATCCATGAGGCCACTGGAAGACTCAGTTCACCAACTCCCCTTCCCTCGATGCCTTATCTTTACCACCTTCAGCCTGGCACCATCTGCAGCCCTGGCAAGATGGAGGGGTGGCATAATGCCAGGATAGAGAAACAAAAGGCAGAACTACAGATGTTTATGAACCATTACTCAAAAGTCGTTGCACCAGTTTCCTAAACTCAAACTGAGAATACAAGTGTTTGTGGTTGTTTTTTTGTTTTTCCTAGAAAACACACACAGATTTTGAAATAAATAGTGGAGGATGTACCTCCCTTAACTGGGACTCTCTGTTCTGGCAACATTCATGATCTGGTAGGACCACCGATGTTCCTGGCCCACAGAGTCCAGTTATAGGAAGGTCTGGCTGCGAGGCAGGAGTGCAGTAGGAGGGCTGGTGACTCAGCTGGGAGCCCCGGGCAGGGGTGGGCAGGCAGTGTGCAGTGTGGAAATCTGACCCCAACAACTAATCAGTGGCAGGGGTCTGGCAGCAGTGGTAGCAGCCAGGAAGCTCCAGCCCCAGCTATGCAGTTCCGGCTCTGGCGGCATCTAGGGAGCTTTGGCTACACAGCTCCGTTCCCAGCAGCGGACAGGCAGCTCCAGCCCCGGCTGTGTAGCTCTGGCCCCGGTGGCACAAGGCCAGCAGGAGCTAGAGATCTTCAACCCAGGAAGTGACCAGGCAGCAGCAGGGCAGGCTGGAGCCCTAGTGGGAGAGGGAGGGTAGCAGTTTAGCATGGGCCAGGAGGGGAAA